CTACCCTACACTTACCCCAGCTACCCTTCACTTACACCCGACACCCTACACTTACACCAACTACCCTACACTTACACCAGCTACCCTTCAATTACACCAGCTACCTTTCACTTACACCTACTTCCGTTCACTTACACCCGCTACCCTTCACTTACACCCACTACCCTACACTTACACCCGCTACCCTACACCTTCACCCGCTACCCTACACTTGCACGAGCTACCCTACACTTTCACCCGCTCTCCTACACTTACTCCTGCTACCCAACACTTACACCGCTACCCTAGACATACACCCGCTACCTTACACTTACACCCATTACCCTACACTTACACCCACTACCCTACACTTACACCCGCTACCCTACACTTACACCCGCTACCCTTCACTTACGCCCTCTACCCAACACTTACACCCGCTACCCTTAACTTACACTCGCTTCCCAAAACCTACACCCGCTACCCTACACATACTTACATTACCCTACAGTTACACCAGCTTCCCTACACTTACTCTTGCTACTCCACACTTACACCTGTTATCCTACACTTATACCCACTACCCTTCACTTACTCCCGCTTCCCCACACTTACACCCGCTACCCAACACTAACACCAGCAACGCTCCACTTACACCAAACATCCAACACTTACACCCCCTAACCTACACTTACACCTGCTACCCTTCATTTACACCAGCTACCCTACACTTACACCCCCTACCATTCACTTACACCCGACACCCTACACTTACACCCACTACCCTTCATTTACACCAGCTACCTTACACTTACACCCACTACCCTAAACTTACACCCGCTACCCTTCACTTACAACCGCTACCCTATACTTACACCCGCTACCCTACACTTACACCCGCTACCCTACACTTGCACCAGCTACCCTACACTTACACCCGCTCTCCTACACTTACACCGCTACCCTACGCTTACAACAGCTACCCTACACTTACACCCGCTAACCTACACTTACACCCGATACCCTGCACTTACCCCCGCTACTCTTCACTTACACCCGCTCTCGTACACTTACACCCGCTACCCTTAACTTACACCCTCTTCCCAAAACCTACACCCACCACCCTACACTTACTTACATTGCCCTACAGTTACACCAGCTTCTCTACACTTACACTTGCTACTCCACACTTACACCAGCTCTCCTACACTTACACCCGCTTCCCTACACTTGCACCCGCTACCTTACACTTCCACCCGTTACCCTACACTTACACTCGCTACCCTAGACTTACACCCAATAACCAACACTTACATCGGCTACCCTGTACTTACACCAGCTACCCAACACTTTCACCCACTACCTACACTTACACCAGCTACCCTTCACTTACTCCCGACTCCCTACACTTACACCCACTACCCTACACTTACACCTGCTACCCTACACTTACACCAGCTACCCTTCACTTACACCCGCTACCCTTCACTTACACCAGCTACCCTTCACTTACAGCCGCTACCCGACACTTACACCTGCTACCCTACACTTACATTAGCTACCCGGCCTACACTTACACCCGCTACCATTCATTTACACCAGCTACTCTACACTTACACCCGTTACCCTAAACTTACACCCGTTACCCTACACTTACACACGCTACCCTACACTTTCACCCGCTACCCTACACTTACACCCGCTACCCTTCATTTACACCCCCAACCTACACTTACACACGCTACCCATCATTTACAACAGCTACGCTACACTTACACCTCCTACCCTACACTTACACCAGCTACCTTACACTTACACCCACTACCCTACACTTACACCCGCTACCCTTCACTTACACCCGCTACCCTACACTTACACCAGCTACCCTACACTTACACCCGCTCTCCTACACTTACTCCGGCTACCCTACACTTACAACAGCTACCCTTCACTTACACCCGCTACCCTACACTTACACCAGCTACCCTACACTTACACCCGCTCTCCAACACTTACTCCGGCTACCCTACACTTACACCAGCTACCCTACACTTAGACCCGCTACCCTTCACTTACACCCGCTACCCTACACTTACACCCACTACCCTACACTTACACCCGCTACCCTTCATTTACACCTGCTACCATTCACTTACACCGCTACCCTACACTTACACCAGCTACCCCAGACTTTCACCGGCTACCCTACACTTACACCAGCTACCCTTCATTTACACCAGCAACCCAAATCTTACACCCGCTACCCTACACTTATACCCCCTACCCAACACTTACACCCACTACCCTTCATTTACACCCACTACCCTACACTTACACCAGCAACCTAACACTTATACCCCCTACCCTACATTTACACCCACTACCCTTCATTTACACCAGCTACCCTACACTTAAACCTATTACCCAACTCTTACATCAGGTACCCTACACTTACACCCGCTACCCAACACTAACACCAGCAACGCTCCACTTACACCAAATACCCAACACTTACACCCCCTAACCTACACTTACACCTGCTACCCTTCATTTACACCAGCTACCCTACACTTACACCCCCTACCCTTCACTTACACCCGACACCCTACACTTACTCCCTCTTCCCTACACTTACACCAGCAACCCTGCACTTACTCCAGCTACCCAGCACTTACACCAGCTACCCTTCACTTACACCCAATAACCTA